CAGATTCAAATTCATGAGACACTTCCTCTGAGGAGCTGTTCCTGTGGATCCGGCCATCGCTTTTCATGCTGTGAAAAGTCTTCTTGAAGGCCTCCATCATGGCATGGGCCAGCTTCTTGGCCTCCAGCTTGCTCTCACACTCTACAGCATGGCAGTCCATCTGGTAGGACAAGTCATCGTTGATCTCCCGATAGACCCAAGCAAAGATATTTGGGCTGACGTTGTGGTCAGCAGTGCAGTAGGCTATACGTGCTACCTGAAAGGTATCCATGTGGACTGTCGCCTCGCCTTTGAGGTCCAGATGATGCAGCCAGACTTGGAAAGGGCGAATTTCCAGAAGGGCGTTAGCTGGGTAAATATCCTCCCTGGCGAGCGTGTGCTTCTTCCATAATTCAATGACTGGTTTCTCTGTGCAGCCTGACAAAAATTGCATCCCTGTTGTGGAAACCTTACCCAAATACGTAACCTGAAAAGAAGAGCAAAGATAGGTGAAACACAGACAGCAGACTCCGGCGTTGCTTTCTGCCATCCCAGGGAACTTCCCTTTATCTGCAAAATAAAAGCACACCCCCTCCCCACCCACCGCAAACTCCCCAATTACCCCATCACCTTCAGCAAAACAGTTTTCAGACTGCTTTCCAGATATTTGCTTTTTCAGATGCTGACTTCACCATTCAAACCCAGATGTTAAAAATGTTCAGTCTCTGAGTTTCAAGGGATTTCACTCTCTTCAGCTCCCCTGGAAAGCCCAGCTTTAGAGCCCATGACTGTACCTCTAAGCTCATGTTAGCAAGTCTAAGTGCTAACCACTTTTTTTTCTTTCTACTTTATTCAGATTATTTATTTGTATCATATTTCAAACATTAATATTAGGGAGACCGAGACATTCTCAGTTTGATAAGGCAAGGCTGCAGGGGGTCAGAAAAGCATGATCACGGCGGAAGATTTTAAACTGTTTGAATTTTTTTTTTCCAAAATGATCTTGTTTTTCCACCACTTCTGCTGTTTTAAGTATTAAGTATCTGACTTAAGTATTAAGCCAGGAATAGCTCAAAGCTGTTCAAAACTCTACCTTTGAGCAGTGCTGAGGCATTTATTACCTCAATTTAAGAAAATACGTTGTTAAAATAATCTAGTAATAAATCTACCTTAGTTTAATCACATCATCTCTGTGCTTTTCTGTCTAGCTCTTTTGAGTAAATATCCTGTTATCCAATCTGCACAGGAAAGCAAGGTGTTTTCAGTGTCCTTACTGTATTTTGTTCACCAAAAATCAAATTCACTGAGAGGTCCATATCAAAATTCTGTGTTAAGCCTGCGCAGAAACATTCCCCTAAATCCGTGCAGCTGCTGAAGAGGCTTTCTTCCACTTACAGCTGAATGGAAGATTATTTTATCTGGGAAAAGGGATTTTCTCTAGAAAAGACAGATCAACGCCCCATAAATACAATTACGCAGATTATTCTACTTATTGCTGTTGTCAGAACGGTGCATTTAAGAACAACTATATGAAAGCAAAATTGCTGCTCATTTGTCTCCTGCAGCAGTAACTGCTTGAGACAGAATCTTGTGCCTCTTGCTTGATGTCTTATGTGCATTTTACGCAAGGCGTTTGGAGGAAAAAAAGTAATCCCATGCACTTTCCAAACTAATTTCTTCAAAATTCTGTATTAAACACGCAGTATCAGCTATTTTTATTTTGTATATGCTTTAAGAAATGCAAAGAAAAAATATGGGATTTCCACATTTAAACACAGTAAAAAAATCATACCCACAAGGAATACAGGATTTGTATTCCATGCAAACAAAATTTTCCATAAGAAAAATACTTTGCTGCAAGCTTCATAGGTTTTGTTAAACTGAGAGACCTAAATTAAGCCATAATTAGGAAAAAGCTTACAAAACATTCTTGGAAGTCCGTGTGGCTTAATCACGCCTGCCAAAAAACCAATTTCATAGCATTGACATTTCAAAATGGGAAGTCTTATTCTTCGCCTATAAATATTCATGCTTTGCACTGGGAATATGTTAAATCTTATAAAGCTTTATATTTTTTGAAACAGTGGGAAACACAACAGCTAGAACAGTTAACAAGGCAAGACCTACCAGTGTTTTGCTTTATTTTATTTTATTAGCAATGAGAGTTGAGTTCCCTGAAGTACTGTGGAATAACTTAAAACAAAACCTCAGAGCTCACAGTGCCAACTAAACACATGCAAACAGCACATACAAGACCAAAGGGGAATGTGTCTGCAACATACTGGGGGGGGGGGTATTTCAACATATATCCACAATCACATCGCTTTGAAAAGATCAAGATCGGTGTGCAAATTTGCACATTCGATATATTCGAAAGGTTCGCTCAGCACCATTTCATATTCACAAGCCAGCTAACAAAAGATTAATACGCACTGTAAATTAACGGAGCATTTGGGGTTAGAGTCAAAGCCCGTTGCAGTAACAGAAGTCCTTCACTGACTTCAAAGAGATTTGCACAAAGCCTTTAAACCCTGAGGAACAGAGAATTAGCCTCTCGCTCACACATTTTGTCACTGCCTAAATACAGTTTTGAATCCCCGGCCGCAGGAGAGATGCCGCCACCACTGCAACATTTTGTCCCCCCAGCCGCTGTTTGGAGAAGACGGGTATCACCTGGAGCACGCAGCAATAAGCACCTCCGGTTAGCGCACAACAGTAAACGCAGGGAATTGTTTCATTATGGGCTTGATGATTCTATGATTCTATGATTCT